TATGTTAGTATTGGATACTCGTGAGTGTTGAATCGTGTTTATCACTGTTGTAAATTCACCTTTGTATCTATTAGAGAGGACCTTTAATTGACTTACTGTAGTTATTAGCATTATTTATCCTAATTATGATAGCTGTTGGTCTTCCAAATAAAATAAAATAAAATAAATTTAAAAAAAAATACTAATCCTAATATTAATATGATAATTTTCAACCACAAGTGCGACATACAATATACGATAATAGTTTAAATTTATAGCAAACAAATGTTGTTCCTTATTTGTAGACATGTAGAGCCTAAATTTTAGAATAATTAATCATTAGGTTATCTTTCGAATAAAATTCTTGTCGTAGCGCCAATTAAAATGTTTATTAACAATCTTTAAAGCACTGCACAAAGACGAGACCGAGATAATAGGAAACACACCATTTTTTTAAATACTGGAAATGCTTTTAACATTAATAATATTCCTTTTATCCAAAGTAAGCAAAATATGCTTGTGTTAGAATGGGTTCACGGCAGTTGTAGAATGGCGGATTACAACCCACAACCTTTTGAGTTCGCGGTCCGCGCCCTGTCATTAGGTTACGAGTACTATCGCCTACTACACTGTATCCTATCTCGTTCTCTCGTAGACTAAATCATATAGATGTATTTATATGTCTCTTTTTATGCCTCGGCCACACACATCGCGCTAGCGCAAAGATTCGAGCTAGCACAATGTATGTGACCAATCCTTCGTGAATACTTCGTAACTTCGTGCGAAGTTTCAAGCACATCGCTTCGTTATCGCAATGTATGAGGCCGGCCCTTCGTGAATACTTCGCCACTTCGTGCGAAGTTTCAAGCACATCGCTTCGCTGTCTGTAAATTCCCGCACATCAAAAGATTTTACCGCGATGGACTTGGCGTGTGCGGCCTAGGCTTGGACATAGTCGGTCGCCTTTGGGAGCGCTCAATTTAGTTCGTAGTCCTATAGCGAACTAGTTCGCTCATTTAGTTCATTAGTTCTTTTATAATTTTTCAGTAGATCTAATTAAAAAAGATAAATATCAGTAAATAAATATTAATGATTTAATTAGTATGTAATATACTACATAATATATAATATGTGCAAGATACTTATCAAGAACTATTTCATGATATGTAAATTAAAATAAAATATACTTAATAAACGAAACTAAACATGTTTTTATATTTTTGAAGTGTATTGAAATAATGAAAATAACACAACTGCAATTTATAGATTACATGTCGCTACTTAATGTAACATAGTAACACAGTGTTACCATGATATAACAAGCCTCAATATAAGGAATTCCTCGATTTAACGAATTTTTCGAAATCCCCTAGAACTGCCTGTAAGAGCTAATGCAAAATATAACTCTACATTACGAATAGATTTTATCAAACACATCTTTATAACGAATTTTTAATCATTGCATATATAGAAGCTATTATAGCTCTATTCAACAATTTTTTTCTACTTGAAATCTTGACATAACATATCCTATCAATTATTCCCACTTAATTCCACAACAAATCATGCCTTGAGAGGTTCAGACACGTACACGACAGACAGGTGACTATTTACATAATGTTGAGATTAATAAACAAGTTTTCTTAGCTTGTTAAAACGAATCGTAGTTCCACCTAACCTGTATATAACGAACCCCATTATAACGAATTACTTGGAATAATAATGAATACTTTCTAATTCCATTCAGTTTCGTTATATTGAGGTTGCACTGTATTCGAGTATTTATTAAAATTAGTAGAAATAGAAAAGTAAACTTTTAATTTTGAATAAATTTACCGTAAAATCGAATTGAGAACTATACGGTATTGTATTTATGTACTGTTTACTATCACTTTCATATTAATATTGTGAGCCAGCAATATTTGTTATTTGTTGTTAATTCTGCACTAATAAATCTTTTACTATAGAATATAAATTATATACTTTAATAAGAAACTCTGGTAAGAACGGTAAGAGTAAAAATAAATAGGTCGTTTAGCAATGCAGCACCACTCCATAATAGAGCGTACGTCAGAAAAATAAATATTTTAAGAACTAAGAGCGAGATTGTCGACGAACTAGTTCGCATAGTTCACCTAAAAGAGCGCTCTTCCCACCTAGGTCGTTCGCGAACTACCCAAGACTAGTGCGGCCACACTTCAGTCTACCCCACAGAGTACATTATATTGGTCTACCCACAGACGTCGTGCGTAGCGGATGTATCAAAATAAATTAGAGTTTGCGACGTATTTCCGACATGGATTGGTCTAATGAAAAAATTTTTGAATTTATTAATTATTACGAGTCTGAGTCGATATTGTGGAACCCGAAAGATGTTGACCACAAAAGAAAAGATTTAAAATATGATGCTTGGGTCAGAATAAAAATAAAGTAAGTTGGGAATGTACAATCGACGATTTAAAAAAGAAGCGTAATTCCCTTATGGCATATTATAGGGAACATTTAAATAAGAAAAAAAAGTCGATCAAATCTGGTGCTGGGGCAGCAGAAATTCATAATATCAATTGGTTTGCTTTTAACGCCCTAAACAGCTTTTTACAGCCTGTATATGATTGTAGGAAAACTATAAATACACAGGTAAGGAATAATGTGTATATGAATTTTAAATAAAAAATTACTTATTACTAGCTCAAATAATTTATTTAGAGATAAAAGACAGATTATATCGACAGAATACCTAAACCTATCTCCATTTACATTAATAAATGCTTGTTTAATTAAGTGTGTTGTGTGAGACGAAAACTTGAGCAAATTTATCCTGTATGTTTGATGGTGTAGAAGCATTTCTGCTGGCTACAGCTGGCAGTGAACGCAAGGCACTGTCAACTGGTTGTTCATTCCTCCAAGTGCCAGGAATCACCTCATCATTTTCAATCCTATCCAAGAAGCCAGGCGGGATGTACAAATTATGAGATGTTTTACTATTCCTTAGGAAGTTATGAAGTAAAACGCATGACATCACAATATTAGAGGCACGATCCGGTTGAAGTGGTATTGGTTTTCTTAGTACTCTGAAAATGCTAGACATTACTCCAAACACATTTTCCACAATAATTCTAGCTTGTGATAATTTTCTATTGAAATTTCTTTTCAAACTTCCTTCTGGGTGTTCACCGGGGTAAGGTTTCATAATGTTTGTTTGTAGTGGGAATGCATTATCTGCTACAAATACATAAGGCATTGCATTGTCACAACCAGAAAGTGGGGAAGGAGCTGGTAAATTAAGAGCACCTCGACTTAGTTCCTGGAATAGTAAACTATTTCTAAATACACCTCCATCACTAATTCTTCCCTGGCATCCAACATCTGCAAATATGAATTTGTAGGTTCTGTCAACTAATGCTAACAGAACAATGCTGTACGTATGCTTGTAGTTATAAAATTCAGTTCCACTGTGATACGGTGACTGTATAACAATATGTTTTCCGTCCATAGCTGCTTCGCAATGTGGAAAGATATTATGGAAATCGGTTTCTTTTTCCAACCAGTCTTGCTCATTTGAAGGCATCTGAAAATTTTTTTTTCATCAGATCGAAAATGAAGAACAGGAAATGACTGCAGCAGAAGAAGGAAAAAATAGGTCCGGTGACGAAATCCCTCTTCGAGCAAAACGGGCGCGTTATGATTTAACTTTAGAGATAAATACTGCTAGGAAGCAAATGACAGAAGCTTTCAACATTGTTCAAAATAACCTATATAATGACGAATATGAAATTTTTGGAAGACTAATAGCTAGTAAATTAAGAAAAATTAGCAATACAAATCTTAAAGAAATTGTTATGAACGATATTCACAATATTATATTTAAAGCGTGCATGGTGGATAGACTAAATGAACCGACTGCGGAATTACCTCAGTCTTTCGTCCATTGTTCATCCTCAACTAATTCACCACAAGATCCATACCAGTCACCAAAGATATCACACAGTTAGCCACACCGATCGCCTCAGTCACCATACAGTCAGCCACATCAATCGCCTCAGTCACCACCATATAGTCAGCCACATCAAGCGCCCCAGTCACCATTCAATCAGCCTTACCAATCGCCCCCGTCACCATACAGTCAGCCACAAACATCGCCCCACTCACCATACAGTCAGCCACACATATCGCCCCAGTCACAATACAGACAGGCACATCAATCTACCCATCCATTATTCAGAGTGCCAAATCAATCTACCCAGCCACCATACAATCAGCCCTACCAATCGTCCCAATCACCGTACAATATGCCATACCAATTACTCCAGTCTACAGATCCAATATCATCGACGTCATACCACTCTGACCACAACTCACTATCCGTTCAGAACATCACCACCAGAACTCTACCCCCAGCAATACCCTCACAAATTAAGATATCAGAATCAGGTGAAATAATGGTTATTTCACCTGATTCTTAATAATAACTAGCTGTTCCCCGCGAGTTCGTTAGCGTGTTAGAGTTTTTATGATTTTGCGCGGAACCCTAATTCTTTTTCTAAAATAATGCTTGGGTCAGAATAAAAAATAAAGTAAGTTGGAAATGTACAATCGACGATTTAAAAAAGAAGCGTAATTCACTTATGGCATATTATAGGGAACATTTAAGTAAGAAAAAAAAGTCGATCAAATCTGGTGCTGGGGCAGCAGAAATTCATAATATCAATTGGTTTGCTTTTAACGCCCTAAACAGCTTTTTACAGCCTGTATATGATTGTAGGAAAACTATAAATACACAGGTAAGGAATAATGTGTATTGCCTCGGCCACACACATCGCGAAGGAATTATCGCGATAAAACTTCGCCTTCGGCCTAGTGCGAAGGTGCCTGGCCACACTGCGCGTTGTAAATTTTAAACACATGCTAAAAACAAAATGGACGCTACGGTCGCTCTGTATTATATGGCTGCGACTAATTATTTTTTATTATTGTGTCCATTTTTAAAAAATAAGAAAAGGGCAAGGAAAAGGCGACATTGGATGATAACCATTCATAAATCAAGAACTACGTAAGCGTTTAGTGTTTACTTTAATATACATTATGCATGTTGAGTTTTAAATAATAAGACATAAAAACATATTAAGTATGTACTTATTTCATGTTTTTAACTTTGTTACAGAGACTTTTTAAACAATATGTTTTCTGATCTAACTGCTGAACCTGCCCAATTTTTTAATTTTCTGCGGATGTCTACGTCAGATTTTGAAATAATCCTGCAGAAATTGTCACCTTTGATACAAAAGAATGATACAAGTTTTAGGAAAGCAATTCCAGCAAAAGTACGATTAGCTTTAACACTACGTTATTTGGCAACAGGGGACAGCTTTAGAAGCCTGCATTATCTATTCAAAATGTCTCATCAAATTATTTCCAAAATAATTCACGAGACATGCACTGCCATTCTAATGGTTTTAAAGGACGAAGTTAAGGTACGTAAATTAAACTTTTAGGTTTAAATAATCATATTTATTTAAAGTTTTATTAGAAAAAAAAAAGAGAAAAATATAATCGTAATCATCTTAATCAGTTCAATTTAGGCTCCGTGCCGCAGTGGCTTAGCAATGAGTTGCGGCGCTGATGGCCACGGGTTCGAATCCCGTACGAAATAAATATTTTTATGGCCTACAAATAATTGTTCCAGTTATGAATGTTTGTTCTTGTAAAATTTATGTATGTAAACTGCCCCTACGATACAGGAGATAATCCTAGTGTGGAAGTAACGTGTTTTAAAAAAACTTATCTATACAAATAAATAAAATTGAGGTGTCTGTTTGTAATGTCAAAATAACAGCTTTTTACTAAATACATATGAAAGTAAATACGCTAATAAATAAAATACAATTTTTAAAATTTTTGTCTGTCTGTTTGTTCCGGGTAATCTCCGAAACGGCTGGACCGATTTTGACGGGGTTTTCATTGGCAGATAGCGCATTTCATTAGGAGTAACTAAGGCTACTTTTATTTAAGAAAAAGAATTAGGGTTCCGCGCAAAAACATAAAAACTATAACACGCGAACGAAGTCGCGGGGAACAGCTAGTTATTATTAAGAATCAGGTGAAATAATGGTTATTTCACCTGATTCTGATATCTTAATTTGTGAGGGTATTTCTGGGGGTAGAGTTCTGGTGGTGATGTTCTGAACGGATAGTGAGTTGTGGTCAGAGTGGTATGACGTCGATGATATTGGATCTGTAGACTGCAGTAATTGGTATGGCGTATTGTACGGTGATTGGGACAATTGGTAGGGCTGATTGTATGGTGGCTGGGTAGATTGATTTGGCACTCTGAATAATGGATGGGTCGATTGATGTGCCTGTCTGTATTGTGACTGGGGCGATATGTGTGGCTGACTGTATGGTGAGTGGGGCGATATGTGTGGCTGACTGTATGCTGACTGGGGAGATGTTTGTGGCTGATTGTATGGTGACTGGGGAGATGTTTGTGGCTGACTGTATGGTGACGGGGGCGTTTGGTAAGGCTGATTGAATGGTGACTGGGGCGCTTGATGTGGCTGACTATATGGTGGTGACTGAGGCGATTGATGTGGCTGACTGTATGGTGACTGAGGCGATCGGTGTGGCTGACTGTGTGATATCTTTGGTGACTGGTATGGATCTTGTGGTGAATTAGTTGAGGATGAACAATGGACGAAAGACTGAGCAGAAGAAGGAAAAAATAGGTCCGGTGACGAAATCCCTCATCGAGCAAAACGGGCGCGTTATGATTTAACTTCAGAGATAAATACTGCTAGGAAGCAAATGACTGAAGCTTTCAACATTGTTCAAAATAACCTATATAATGACGAATATGAAATTTTTGGAAGACTAATAGCTAGTAAATTAAGAAAAATTAGCAATACAAATCTTAAAGAAATTGTTATGAACGATATTCACAATATTATATTTAAAGCGTGCATGGTGGATAGACTAAATGAACCGACTGCGGAATTACCTCAGTCTTTCGTCCATTGTTCATCCTCAACTAATTCACCACAAGATCCATACCAGTCACCAAAGATATCACACAGTCAGCCACACCGATCGCCTCAGTCACCATACAGTCAACTACACATATCGCCCCAGTCACCATACAGACAGACAAACATATCGCCCTAGTCACAATACAGACAGACACATCAATCGACCCATTCACCGTTCAGAGTACCACATCAATCGACCCAGCCACCATACAATCAGCCCTACCAATTGTCCTAATCACCGTACAATATGCCATGCCAATGAGGGTTAAGAAGTTTTTGCTCACCAGATGTCGCTAGTTGACACTGAGGTGAAGTTTTTGTTACACAATGTCATTTAATTGAGAAGTTGTTTTTTAATTAAAGTTTACCAGTTTCTAGATTATTATATTATTACGCAAAACAATGCGTCAGTGGCTGGCTCTTTACTTTTTTGCACATTTTTAACTTTTTTAAATTTTTCTACTTTTATCAATATCAGTGGTTTGATTTATTTATTTTTAATGTTATTAATATAAAATATAGCTTATAGTGCAAAAAGAAACAATAACTTTTACATTTTCCGAACAAATTAACTTCCCCAGTATGAAATCTCTCAAATATTATACCTTACTTTCTAGTGGCGCTGCCCTGGTGACAGAGAAAGTCGTGGATTCCCTCATTACTTCAGTCTACAGATTCAATATCATCGACATCATACCAGTCTGATCAGAACTCACTATCCGTTCCGAACATCACCACCAGAACACTATCAACAATACCCTCACAAATAAAGATATCAGAATCAGGTGAAATAACCATTATTTCACCGGATTCTAATAATAATAATAATTTTTTTTAAAACACGTTACTTCCACACTAGGATTATCTCCTGGGTCGTGGGGGCAGTTTACATACATAAATTTCACAAGAAGAAACATCCATACCCGCTTAAATACTTATTTCGTGTGGGATTCTAACTCGTGGTTATTGGTGACTGAGGCGATCGGTGTGGCTGACTGTGTGATATCTTTGGTGACTGGTATGGATCTTGTGGTGAATTAGTTGAGGACGAACAATGGACGAAAGACTGAGGTAATTCCGCAGTCGGTTCATTTAGTCTATCCACCATGGACGCTTTAAATATAATATTGTGAATATCGTTCATAACAATTTCTTTAAGATTTGTATTGCTAATTTTTCTTAATTTACTAGCTATTAGTCTTCCATAAATTTCATATTCGTCATTATATAGGTTATTTTGAACAATGTTGAAAGCTTCAGTCATTTGCTTCCTAGCAGTATTTATCTCTGAAGTTAAATCATAACGCGCCCGTTTTGCTCGATGAGGGATTTCGTCACCGGAGTCAGTCATTTCCTGTTCTTCATTTTCGATCTGATGAAAAAAAAATTTCAGATGCCTTCAAATGAGCAAGACTGGTTGGAAAAAGAAACCGATTTCCATAATATCTTTCCACATTGCGTAGCAGCTATGGACGGAAAACATATTGTTATACAGTCACCGTATCACAGTGGAACTGAATTTTATAACTACAAGCATACGTACAGCATTGTTCTGTTAGCATTAGTTGACAGAACCTACAAATTCATATTTGCAGATGTTGGATGCCAGGGAAGAATTAGTGATGGAGGTGTATTTAGAAATAGTTTACTATTCCAGAAACTAAGTCGAGGTGCTCTTAATTTACCAGCTCCTTTCACACTTTCTGGTTGTGACAATGCAATGCCTTATGTATTTGTAGCAGATAATGCATTCCCACTACAAACAAACATTATGAAACCTTACCCCGGTGAACACCCAGAAGGAAGTTTGAAAAGAAATTTCAATAGAAAATTATCACAAGCTAGAATTATTGTGGAAAATGTGTTTGGAGTAATGTCTAGCATTTTCAGAGTACTAAGAAAACCAATACCACTTCAACCGGATCGTGCCTCTAATATTGTAATGTCATGCGTTTTACTTCATAACTTCCTAAGGAATAGTAAAACATCTCATAATTTGTACATCCCGCCTGGCTTCTTGGATAGGATTGAAAATGATGAGGTGATTCCTGGCACTTGGAGGAATGAACAACCAGTTGACAGTGCCTTGCGTTCACTGCCAGCTGTAGCCAGCAGAAATGCTTCTACACCATCAAACATACGGGATAAATTTGCTCAAGTTTTCGTCTCACACAACACACTTAATTAAACAAACATTTAATGTCACATTATTCCTTACCTGTGTATTTATAGTTTTCCTACAATCATATACAGGCTGTAAAAAGCTGTTTAGGGCGTTAAAAGCAAACCAATTGATATTATGAATTTCTGCTGCCCCAGCACCAGATTTGATCGACTTTTTTTTCTTATTTAAATGTTCCCTATAATATGCCATAAGGGAATTACGCTTCTTTTTTAAATCGTCGATTGTACATTCCCAACTTACTTTATTTTTTATTCTGACCCAAGCATCATATTTTAAATCTTTTCTTTTGTGGTCAACATCTTTCGGGTTCCACAATATCGACTCAGACTCGTAATAATTAATAAATTCAAAAATTTTTTCATTAGACCAATCCATGTCGGAAATACGTCGCAAACTCTAATTTATTTTGATACATCCGCTACGCACGACGTCTGTGGGTAGACTGAAGTGTGGCCGCAGCCGCACACGCCAAGTCCATCGCGGTAAAATCTTTTGATGTGCGGGAATTTACCGACAGCGAAGCGATGTGCTTGAAACTTCGCACGAAGTGGCGAATTATTTACGAAGGACTGGTCACATACATTGTGCTAGCTCGAATCTTTGCGCTAGCGCGATGTGTGTGGCCGAGGCATACGAAATTTTAAATAAAAAATTACTTATTGCTAGCTCAAATAATTTATTTAGAGATAAAAGACAGATTATATCGACAGAATACCTAAACCTATCTCCATTTACATTAAATGTTTGTTTAATTAAGTGTGTTGTGTGAGACGAAAACTTGAGCAAATTTATCCCGTATGTTTGATGGTGTAGAAGCATTTCTCCTGGCTACAGCTGGCAGTGAACGCAAGGCACTGTCAACTGGTTGTTCATTCCTCCAAGTGCCAGGAATCACCTCATCATTTTCAATCCTATCCAAGCAGCCAGGCGGGATGTACAAATTATTAGATGTTTTACTATTCCTTAGGAAGTTATGAAGTAAAACGCATGAAATCACAATATTAGAGGCACGATCCGGTTGAAGTGGTATTGGTTTTCTTAGTACTCTGAAAATGCTAGACATTACTCCAAACACATTTTCCACAATAATTCTAGCTTGTGATAATTTTCAATTGAAATTTCTTTTCAAACTTCCTTCTGGGTGTTCACCGGGGTAAGGTTTCATAATGTTTGTTTGTAGTGGGAATGCATTATCTGCTACAAATACATAAGGCATTGCATTGTCACAACCAGAAAGTGGGGAAAGAGCTGGTAAATTAAGATCACCTCGACTTAGTTTCTGGAATAGTAAACTATTTCTAAATACACCTCCATCACTAATTCTTCCCTGGCATCCAACATCTGCAAATATGAATTTGTAGGTTCTGTCAACTAATGCTAACAGAACAATGCTGTACGTATGCTTGTAGTTATAAAATTCAGTTCCACTGTGATACGGTGACTGTATAACAATATGTTTTCCGTCCATAGCTGCTACGCAATGTGGAAAGATATTATGGAAATCGGTTTCTTTTTCCAACCAGTCTTGCTCATTTGAAGGCATCTGAAAATTTTTTTTTCATCAAATCGAAAATGAAGAACAGGAAATGACTGCAGCAGAAGAAGGAAAAAATAGGTCCGGTGACGAAATCCCTCATCGAGCAAAACGGGCGCGTTATGATTTAACTTCAGAGATAAATACTGCTAGGAAGCAAATGACTGAAGCTTTCAACATTGTTCAAAATAACCTATATAATGACGAATATGAAATTTTTGGAAGACTAATAGCTAGTAAATTAAGAAAAATTAGCAATACAAATCTTAAAGAAATTGTTATGAACGATATTCACAATATTATATTTAAAGCGTGCATGGTGGATAGACTAAATGAACCGACTGCGGAATTACCTCAGTCTTTCGTCCATTGTTCATCCTCAACTAATTCACCACAAGATCCATACCAGTCACCAAAGATATCACACAGTCAGCCACACCGATCGCCTCAGTCACCATACAGTCAGCCACATCAATCGCCTCAGTCACCACCATATAGTCAGCCACATCAATCGCCCCAGTCACCATTCAATCAGCCTTACCAATCGCCCCCGTCACCATTCAGTCAACTACACATCTCCCCAGTCACCATACAATCAGCCACACACATCTCTCCAGTCACCATACAGTCAACTACACATATCGCCCCAGTCACCATACAGACAGACAAACATATCGCCCTAGTCACAATACAGACAGACACATCAATCGACCCATTCACCGTTCAGAGTACCACATCAATCGACCCAGCCACCATACAATCAGCCCTACCAATTGTCCTAATCACCGTACAATATGCCATGCCAATGAGGGTTAAGAATTTTTTGCTCACCAGATGTCGCTAGTTGACACTGAGGTGAAGTTTTTGTTACACAATGTCATTTAATTGAGAAGTTGTTTTTTAATTAAAGTTTATCAGTTTCTAGATTATTATATTATTACGCAAAACAATGCGTCAGTGGCTGGCTCTTTACTTTTTTGCACATTTTTAACTTTTTTAAATTTTTCTACTTTTATCAATATCAGTGGTTTGATTTATTTATTTTTAATGTTATTAATATAAAATATAGCTTATAGTGCAAAAAGAAACAATAACTTTTACATTTTCCGAACAAATTAACTTCCCCAGTATGAAATCTCTCAAATATTATACCTTACTTTCTAGTGCCGCTGCCCTGGTGACAGAGAAAGTCGTGGATTCCCTCATTACTTCAGTCTACAGATTCAATATCATCGACATCATACCAGTCTGATCAGAACTCACTATCCGTTCCGAACATCACCACCAGAACACTATCAACAATACCCTCACAAATAAAGATATCAGAATCAGGTGAAATAACCATTATTTCACCGGATTCTAATAATAATAATAATTTTTTTAAAACACGTTACTTCCACACTAGGATTATCTCCTGGGTCGTGGGGGCAGTTTACATACATAAATTTCACAAGAAGAAACATCCATACCCGCTTAAATACTTATTTCGTGTGGGATTCTAACTCGTGGCCGTCAGCGCTGCAACTCATTGCTAAGCCACTGCGCCACGGAGCCTAAATTGAATTGAACTGATTAAGATGATTACGATTAAATTCTTCTCTTTTTAGTGTTTCTAATAAAAGTTTAAATAAATATGATTACGTAAACCTAAGAGTTTAATTTACGTACCTTAACTTCGTCTTTTAAAATCATTAGAATGGCAGTGCATGTTCGTCCACTATTTTGGAAAGAATTTGATGACACATTTTTAATAGATAATGCAGGCTATTAAGGCTGTCCCGTTGCCAAATAATGTAGTATTAAAGCTAATCGTACTTTTGCTGGAATTGCTTTCCTGAAACTTATATCATATTTTTTTGTATCAAAGGTGACAATTTCTGCAGGATTATTTCAAAATCTGACGTAGAAATCCGCAGAAAATTAAAAAATTGGGCAGGTTCAGCAGTTAGATCAGAAAACATATTGTTTAAAAAGTCACTGTAACAAAGTTAATAACATGAAATATGTACATACTTAATATGTTTTTATGCCTTATTATTAAAAACTCAACACGCATAATTCATATTAAAGTAAAATAAACGCTTACGTAGTTCTTGATTTATGAATGGTTTTCATCCACTGTCGCCTTTTCCTTGCTCTTTTCTTATTTTTTAAAAATTGACACAATAATAAAAAATAATTATGTGCTGCCATATAATACAGAGCGACCGTGGCGTCCATTTTATTTTTAGCATGTGTTTAAAATTTACAACGCGCAATATGGCAAGGCACCTTCGCACTAGGCCGAAGGCGAAGTTTTATCGCGATAATTCCATCGCGATGTGTGTGGCCGAGGCATAAAGAACTATTCACTTCAAAAAATAGGTAAAGATCGCTCATCTTATAATCACAGAGTAAGGACCAGAGGCGAAGCTTTCTAACAACCACGAAAATTACAACGCGCAATATGGCAAGGCACCTTCGCGCTAGGCCGAAGGCGAAGTTTTATTGCGATAATTACTTAGCGATGTGTGTGGCCGAAGCATAAAGAACTATTCACTTCAAAAAATAGGTAAAGATCGCTCACTTTATAATTACAGAGTAAGGACCAGAGGCGAAGCTTCTTAACAACCACGAAAATGTATGCCTATTTTGATAGGGTTGTTACACTCTATTCCAATTACGAAGTCCTATTTGACAGATGTCAATAATCAAGTACTAGTAAAGTACCGCTATAGTCGATACTTGACGATATTGATATTCGATTACTATAACGAACAAATTAAAATCGTATTGACAGAAAAAAGGATTAGCATCAAATTAAAATTTATAAAACTGTTTTTTAATTTTAATTAGATAATATTACATGATATTTATATCAAGATGGAACATATTCATCATCACTAGCCGAAATCGATATTTCATGGTCGGCATCGTCGTCATCACCCTCATCATCGTCTGTAGAATACCCTGTATTTATTATAATTTGGTTATCTATGACGCCATCGATATGTATGTCTCTGTCCCAATCAGCGAAAATCAAATTTTTTGTTCGGAAAACCACACTTTCCCAATTCGCGGCAGTAACACTATCACAAGCTTATTTCAACAATGACAGCATTTTGTTTGCAGTAAACGGTGGGCTGATATTTTTACGAGCCGCATAACCTAAAATAAAGGTTTGCGTGTTAATATAGCAACAGATAAAATGTTAAAATAGGTAAAAATAAATTATAAAAAAGATTTGTTTAAATTCTTGCCTTTAATTTGCGCCCAAATCAATTCTATGGCATTGTATTGACAATGGTAGGGTGGAAGGCGCATTACATTGTGTCCGGCTTCCTTAGCCATTTCGTCCATTACGTATTTTGGTCTAGCTGGCTTATTTATATCAACCAAATGCAGTAGCTCAACTTTTAACATGGACATGTCAGCAACAATATTATTGTCATTCAGCCATTTCACAATATCGGCTTTTTTGCTGCTAGAAGTTGGAGGCTTACTTATTTGTACTGAATGATACGGTGCATTATCCATAATGATCGTCGATGGCTCATTCAAGTTAGTCAATAAGGTACAAAACCATTCCTTAAATTTAACAAAATTCATCTCTTCGTGGTATTCCACAGTTTTCTTAGATTTAAACGCCAAGAGTCAGTTCGGAACAAATCCCTTCGTGGAACCCGCATGACAAATAATTAAGCGTTCACCTTTGCCACTAGGTACTTTTTTGGAGGAGTGAGGAGTGTCTTCTGTCCATATCTTGCCAACTGTATGATTAGCGTTTAGCCACGTCGCATCTAGAAATATAACATTATTCCAAACGGCAATGGACTTTCCTGATCTTAGAAAATTAGATCTGGCTAAAGCTATATCTCTACGTTCCATCAAAATCCGCCTTTTATCACATTTTTTATAAGAAAAGCCAACATTTTTTAAAATCCTCTAGAAAGAAGTTCTACTGCCGTGAAACAGTCCAGATTCTCGTAAAGTATTTGACAATTTATCGAGAGTCGGCAATTCGTTCCTACTATAGTAGCCATAGATATGGTTTCTAATGGCGTCGTTATCAAAATTGTCGATATGTGTAACTATCGATCTTCTAACCTTTTTCTTAAGTGGCGATTTTAATTTGTTATCTTCCATTAAATCTTTACCATGTTTTTCCTTACTTATTCGGAAAACAGTTTTTCGACTAATACCAAGAGCTGCACTTACTCGGTTAATCACTTGTGAAAGTGGCAACAATGGACCACCATTTTGATACTCTCTTTCAAAGTAATCTTGTAGGCGTACTACAAACTCTCGCGCTTGACTGCGCATCACTGGTCTTTTAGTGGTCTCAGTTTCGGCCATAGTGTTTATAAATACAAAAAAAAACCAAATCAAATATCAGTCAAAACTTAATAACAACGAAAGGATTATCAAACAGTTATAACTACAATAACAAGAACGAAATAAAAACACAACACAAAATAAACTAAACTGAACACGCGTATTGTATACAAGGCTTCTGCACTCGTACTGAAGAGACCAACAAAATGGCGGTCGTGATCACGAGGTGGACGCAATGTTGACAGATTTTCACTAGCGAAAAGAATCTGTCTATAATCGATTTTATACGATTTTTTTTAGTTACGTCACTATTTAAAAAAGTAAAAATAAAACTATAGAACGTAAACGCAAAACGGCAGTAAAATATTATTATCTATTAAAGTTTTAATTATTTTGAGCATGATGTCTAAAAACAATATGATGATTATGTGAATCATTGCTCAAACAAAATGTAGAGGCTTGTTCAAATACTTTTAAAATCCATAGAGTACTGCCAAAAGATATCGTTAAATATTTTAAAACTATTGATGTTAAGAAAACGGCAGACTTATGGGGGATTTCCGTTAAAGTTATTTTATGTATAATAGATATATTAGCACCTTATCTAGCCACTATATTTA